GCCCAGACCAAATCCCACCTCTGCCACCAGCTAGACCCGTAACCCCAGGCAGCTGACATCGCCTTTCTCAGCCTCAGTTTCCTCATCTAGAAAATACGGGTAACAATAGCACCTACCTCTTCAAGGGGTGAGGATTAAATGAGTTAACACGTGTTAACGCTCTTCGCATACTGCCTGGCACACAGCAAGTGCTACATAAGTGCTTGTTAAACAAATTAAATACAGAAAAACAAGGGAAGCCACCCCCATCCCCCGGTGGTGTCCTGTGTCCTTGACACAAAGCCTTCTGGCCACAGCCTGGTTGTCCAGCCCAGTGGGGCCCAGCCGGCTTTGAAGTCGCTGCTCTCTAGGGATGGCCTGCTGTCAGCAGCTATTGTTCAGCAGCCCCGGGTGTGGCCCAGAGGTGGGAACTGGTCAGGGGGCCTGTCCGCAGGAAGGGAGGAGCAGCCTGTGGGGGCACTCTGGTTTTCTTCTTTCACCCCTTCTGGGGCTTCCTGCCCTGCCCCCACCCTCCACGTCTGCCTTGTCCTTGGGAAATGGTGAGGGTTCTCTGCTTCAAGAGAAGAAAATAACGTTTGGTTGGGGAAACTGAGGCCCAGCGGGAGAAAGGCCATCCAGGGAGGGTGTGGCGGAGGCAGGAGTGGGGCCCACCGCCTTAAGTTTCTTGAGGGCTCATTACATTACTGAGCACATCCAGCATTAAGTGAGGGAAGCACTCATTTCCCTGCAAGCCGTCCAGCTGGGAGCTGGCAGAGGCTGGATAGAACCCTAGTCTGAGCAACCCCCCGCTGACCGCCTTGGCCACTCCACCACCCCCGCCGGGGAGGGAAGCTTAGAGCTCATCTGGTCTGAGCCTCCCCCTTCACAGGTGGGGAAATGAAGCACAGAGAGGGACAAGTAACTTGCTCAAGGTCTCGCAGTAAGCCAGCCCTGGGCAGTCAGGGTCGGTAGCCTGCCTCTGGTCTTTAGGAGGATTGAATAAACTGCCAGATGTGGAAGGGCTTTTTATTGCCCTGTGCTGACATCCGAAGGCAGACTCTGTGGCATGTCCCTGCTCTGCCACTTAAAGTGCTGTGTGACCTGTGTGGGCAAGCGATGGATTCTCTCTGGGCCTTAGTTTCCTTGCCTTCAAGATGGGGATAATAATAAACCTATCTCAAAGAGTTAGGGAAGGACCAACTGTGTATAGAAGTTAGCATTTGGAATAGCACCAGGCACACACTAAGTGCTCAGTGAATGCTGGTTGGTGGTATTGACTGAGGGCAGCTGAGCCAGGCGGGCCCTGAGAGCTTCCTTCTTGCCCTCTTCCAAAGCCCCTTTCTAGTTGTTTATACTCAGGGATGGTGGCCACCCGAGAATTCTGCTCCATTGAGGGTTCCTATGCCAGCCAGGCGAGGTCTGGGGTTATGTCACCCTCTGTCGGTGTCTGTTCTCTCCCTGGACCCCAGCAGTGCCTTGTGGTACCCTGGTGCTGCCTTCTCCCAGACCCCATGGACACACTCATCCTGCTCTCAGTGTCAGTCTTCTCACCTGTAAAATGAGTGTACTGGCTGTGCAGTGGCTCCTTTCTGCTCCCTTGGTCTCCCAGGCCCTCAGAGGAAGCCGGGGACTCTGTGAGCCAGTCTTAGGGCTCTGGGTGCAGATCCTGTGCTATGCAGATGATCTGGGCAAGTGTCTGAGCCCTGCTGAGCCCCAGGTCCTCTGTCAACAGGCAGCCAGTGCGCCAGTTTTGGGGGCATTGTGAACATGACACGGGTTTGTGCCTGGGAGTCCTTGCTCAGCTGGAAATATCAGGATTTCACCATCTATTCAGCCATGCACCTTTGAGCGCCTTCTAGGCATAAACCCTGCTTGGAATCTTCTCATAGTGAAGAAAAAGATGGGGAAGTCCATCCACGAAAACTGAGGCCACAGGATGTTTGGAGACTTGTGCTTTCAGGACAGGAGAAGGAGAGAGGAAGTAGGACAAGCCCTTGGGGATGGAAAGGCCCAGCCCGGGTCATCCGTGATGCCCACTTTACATTGACTGGTCTGCCTGGGACATGCTGTGTGACTCAGCAGCGAAGGCTATGAACCTCGCAGAGCCCCAAGGAAGTCGAGGGCCTTCCCCATCCTGGCTGTGTGGGACTTTAGAGGCCTCTTTTCCTTCCCAGAAGTTCCTGTGTGCTTCCTGCAAAATCACAAAATCCATAACAGGTCCCATTTTCTTGAGCACATAAGTGCCAGGCAGGCACTCTTCTGATGGTGTTAGCAGCATCATCCTATTTCATCTTCACCTCGCCTCTCGATGAGGGCCATCTATTACTCTTATGTCCATTTTACACGTGAGGCAACAGGCCCAGAGACGTTAAGCATGATACCCAAGGTCACACTGCAAATGAGGGGATAGAACTGGGATTTGAACTCACACTTACCTGATTAGTCATACTAATAGTTGTAACGTTAGCTAAGGTGAACTAAGTGCTATGTGCCAACGACTGGACAAAGCCTTTTTCATATACATTTGATAGTTTACTCTCTTATTTTGCATTTTCCATCTCTACGCATTGGAATGTCAGTTCCATGAGAGTAGGGATTTGTTTTCTGTCTTGTCCAGCATTGTAGTTCTAGGGCCGTAATATTTAGTAAACGTTTATAGGAGTTTTTTCATTGAATCTCAGTAAATCTATGAGGGTAGGTACTTATACCCAGGTTATAGGTGAGGCACCTATGGCCCAGAGAGGTTAAGCAACATGCCCAAGGTTACACAGCAAGTGAAATGGCGAGCTCGGCTCCAAAACCCCAACCTTGGAAAGGAAGCTCAGGTTTAACAGCAGCGGATGAAGCCACAGGCCCCGCTGAATGTCTTGTCCTTCGCAGGTCGTCTACTTCACGGCCACTTTCCCGTTTGCTATGCTCCTGGTGCTGCTGGTTCGTGGACTGACGCTGCCTGGTGCAGGCGCAGGCATCAAGTTCTATCTGTACCCTAACATCACCCGCCTCGAGGACCCACAGGTACTTCGGGGCAGCCTGTCCTCCCTCCTACCCAGGGCTGTGGTTCTTGGGTGTACAAATGTAGCTGGGCATCAGTGCCTAGTACTTTTCCACTAGGCTGTGGTGGATCGTTCACAATGCTCGTGGGCTCTTCCAGCTGTGTGTGTATCTTTTCGTGTCGAGCACTCCTGAGGCAGGCCAATTATAGACTCTTGTTTCGGCACTGTGCCAGGGGAGAGAGTCTTTTTCTGAGCTAGCTCTCCTTGCACCTGGCCTCTGCCCGCAGCAGCTGAGAGGGCTGCATCACGGGGGTGGGAGAGCTGCTGGCTTCCTTGGTCCTGGATGGAATTCAGAGTTGGTGACCTCTGGGCAGGTCGAGGGACCAGTACTGAATGTCCACCTCTTGGCACTCAGCCACATGACCAGAGGTTTGAAGAAAATCCTGGGAGATTTTATGGGCCCGTTGAAGGAATTTTTCGTTCCCAGGATCCTCAGTCTTCAGGTTGCTTGCTGCTTTGGGTCTCTTCCCCACTGTCTGCTTGTCCTCCACAGGAGGTAGGTGGGAGGGGGCTTGGCCAGCATCAGAGGACGGCTGAAATGGCAGCTTCGTGACCATTTAGGATCTGCCTGATAGGAAGGTTCTGGAGAGAAGCTTTGCCTGCATAAACCATGAGGGGATTCCTTCCCATTCCAACTTGGGGTCCCCGGACAATAACAATGATAGTAATGACAGGAGCCTTGACTTCCAGGCTTATCAGTGGCACTGGGTTAAATCTTTCTTCTTTGAACCCTTAAAATAGCTCAGTGGGGCAGGGCCATGGATCCCATCTTACAGATACGAAAACCAAGCCTCGGGAGTCATGTTTACTTGCCCACAGTGATGCCACAGTTGGAATCCAGCTCCCTCTGCTTCAAAGCCCAGCCTTTTAACCCTGATACTGAGTGACTGTGGGGTTTCTTCAACTCCGGGGACTCCTTACAGCTCAGTGTTGTCTTAAACGTCACCTTGGTTTTCAGCACAGACACTCCTCCAATTGCAATCAAGAATCTGAACATTTTCAGGCGCATTCCTCGGTGGCCAGGTGGCCAGGAACCCGTGCTGCCTCCTCCAGGAAGCCAGCTCTAATGCCTCCTTCTCTCTCTCCTTGCCACCCACCCCCGCACCCCTCTAGGTATGGATCGATGCTGGGACCCAGATATTCTTCTCCTATGCCATCTGCCTGGGGGCCATGACCTCGCTGGGGAGCTACAACAAGTACAAGTACAACTCGTACAGGCAAGTGTTGCACCGGCGGGCCTGGTGGACCTTAGAAATGATGATGATGTTTAAAGAAAAAAGAGAAGTAGGGAGCGTGGCTTCCTTGTGTTGTGAATTAACTTGCTCCCTGACATATGTGTAACTTAGGGACTGTATGCTGCTGGGATGCCTGAACAGTGGTACCAGTTTTGTGTCTGGCTTCGCAATTTTTTCCATCCTGGGCTTCATGGCACAAGAGCAAGGGGTGGACATTGCTGATGTGGCTGAGTCAGGTATGGTGGTATCGGTGGCAGTGGTGGTGGGCACTGCCACCTAGTGTGTAAGCTGAGTACTGCAGGCATGAAGCCAGACCCCAGGGGCTTTGGAGGGGGGGGACAAGCCTGGTTTCCAAAATGGACCCCCCCCACCAAGATGTCCCCCAAGTATCACAGAGTACAAAAGCTAAATTTTAAACACACGCATTGCAATTTGGCCCAAGGGGCGGCAGAAACATGGGTTTGGTTAAGTTGGGGGATATTTAGCTACTTTGGTGTGGTCTTCCCCCCTCTCCCTCCTCCAGCAAACACCTGGTTTCCGAAACAGAAACCACTTTCCTAACTCCGGAAGTCAGCCACCAGTCGATATTCCATCACCACCTTCTCAGCTTTGGTTTCTGTATTTTGCACTTTGCTCCCAGCGCGCTCCCTCAAAGCGAACCCAGTCATTTATTCCACTGATGTTTATTGATTTATCGAGTCTCTACCCTGTGTCAGGCACCACCGTAGGCTCTGGGTGGGGGGGGAGACAGCGGGCATGGCAGGCCGCCCTCTGGGACGAAAACAGATCTGATTTGGGGGTAGGCTGTGGGGACACCATCACCCTCTTAGGGTGTGGGCCCTGTTGGCAGGGTCCTCCTCCCCAGGACACCTGGAGGTAGAGAAAAGAGTCTTAGAATTGCGGACTCTGCAAAGCCTGGGATCTTAGACTGAGATTCTGCAGCTCCAGCAGGATGGACCCAGAACCTGAGAATTGTGAGGTCTTTAGTTACTAGAATCCTAGAGCCTCAGAACCTCAGTATCTCAGGACTTGCTGTGATGCGCTAAGTCCCGGACCTTCAGCTTTAAAACTGCAGTGGCTTAGACATGGGAAGGAGAACCTTAGGCTCCCAGGACCCTCAAAGTCCACCTTTCTGGCTTCTCTGCCCTTCCCCAGTCCTGCCCAATTCACTTGGAGGGTGGTTGTCAGTTGCCTGGGAGATCTTGTTATTTGACACACCTCCCTCCACTCTGCCTGACCTCCTAAATACTCATCCCTCTGTGGGGCCATTTGGAGGCAGGCAGTGGCCCTGAGCTGAGAGGCCTCAAGCCCTAAGGAGAGTGTAAGGTCCTGACTCCAGGGACCACCACAGACCAGGGTCAGGCACAGCTGGAGTCCCCACCAAGGTGTGACCCTTGCCCATAGGTCCCTAGAATGGGGTCAGGGGTACCTCAGTATTGCGCATACAGATGTCTGCTCCGCAGATGAGACCAACAGCCTGAGAGCAAGGACCTTGCTCGGGCTAGTTAGGGTCAGCGTTGGGGCCTCTGGGTCAAGGCCCCTCTGACATGAGGGTGTTCCACCCCACCCTGAACACACGTGACAACCTCTGGCCCTTCCTGTGTAAGGGTATGTCTGTGCTCCTCTAACCTTTCTGAGCCCCTGGGGTCGTTTTTCTCCCCACGTGGCAAAGATGCTGTCAGGCGCCATATCCTCACACCCCAACCTGCAGGACAATGTGGCAAGTCCATGCCTCTGCCCTGTGTTTCTCCACTGACCCTGGTCCCAGAGCAGACCTTTAGACATAGCGTCCCTTCCCTGAAAATCCCCAGAAGGCATGCCCAAGACTGAGGACAGAAAGTATTAATAATTCTAGAAATATCCACACCCACCTGGGAGTTGGCAGTTAGAATGGTGAAGGGAGACAGTTCACACCTCCTTCGAAGATGGCTATTTTCAAACCTATTCGGCTTGCAAACTGATTCCGATCGATTGGGAATCGCCAGGAGCATGGAGTGAACTTGGCGGTGGGAGCTATGTATGGACATATAAGATAGCTCTTTCTCTCTGGACAACTAGGTATTTTTATGTGTATGTATATATTGTCAACCTAAGTTGTTTTCTTCCTCCCGTCCACTTCAAAGACCTTGGCGTTTATTCCCCACGGTGATGTCTGAACAGCTGACACATCAAGGGTGATTATTTCTCTAATAAGCTTTTAACAAGCACCATATTGAGCCAAGCGCATTTGAACAAGATCATTATTTAGCCGAACGTAGAGAGGCGCGTTCTCTGCTAACAAGAGGCATGCAGAGGTGCTCGGAGCGGCCGCGTTATTTCACATGGACTTCTCTCTAGAGTTCATCATGCGCTTTTAGAGAAAGGCACTCAGACCCTCTACCAGAGGCTGGCTTGAGAAAGGCAAAACTGAAATACAGAAACGAGCACGTTGAGAACCTTCACAAGCCCTGGCGGGTGGGGGGTGGAGGGGCCCCATTTTACATCTGTCTCACAGTTGGCTGGACTTGACTCCTCACGCAGAGCTGACGTGTGTGGGGGGCGGGGCAGGGGACCCCAGCCTAGGTGGAAGTGTGTCTCCCTAGTCCACTTGGACTTTGGGATTTGTACAAACACCCCATCCACCACTTCTGGAGTTTTCTAGCTGCCTGAGGATGTTCGGTCATGGTCAGGTGGGTCAAGTGGACTCTGGACCATAAAAGGACTTGTCCTTGGCTGCCACATTGGTGGTTAGTGCTATGTGATGTGGTTTCTGGATCCAATTTATTTCAAAGGTTTTGTTTTTTGCTTTTCTTTTTTCATTTTTAAACCATTCATTTGGTTCTGATACCTGCTTTAAATATCCTGCCTCCAGCCCTTTTTATTTTACATTTCTTGACCTTTTTTTTTCTTTTTTTTTAAGTTGTGGGTTTTATTTTTTCAGCTCAGGCCCTTTAAGCCTCCTTTCTTTTACTGCTCCTGGCTGTCTCTTGGACCCACCATAGGTCTCCGTTATAAATCAGTTCTTCCTCCTGGCAGAACTGAAGCCGGCTGGAGACAGGGGGAGACATTTATTTCTCCACTTCTTCAGAATGTTTCTAGTCAGAAAGGCACCCCCTGAGCTGATGGGACTCCTGTCTCCCAAGCCCCGCCTCCAGATTCTGTCAGAGTTCCCCCTCTTGAGAAACCAGAGCCCTTTTCTAGGGACACGGTGTCAGCATCTGAGAATCTGAACACGAGAAGGCTCCTGGGGAATCATTTATGAGAACTTGTCCCTAACTTCTCAGATGGGGAAACTGAGGCCCTGTGAGGGCATGTGGTGATGTAAAGAAGAGCTGGAAGAGGTGGTGGGATGAGGACTTGAATGTAGGGCGTGGGCCTCTCCCCGGGCCTGGGGTCTTAAACCCGCGCACGCCTCCATTTAGCTTTGGGGCATGGCTCTGACGTTGCTCAGGAGGGTGCGCTGAGGCACCCCTGCAGAGACATTTGCCCTGTAGGGCATGGTTCTCTATTCTGTTTTCTTTCCACTCATGCAGTGTCTTAGTGAAAACTTGTCTTTGCAAACAGGGGATTTAGGAGCCAGATAACCAGAACCTCCCATCTGCTTCCTTCCAGCAAATGTTGGGGTGGTTACTCTGGTTTGGGGGGGAGGGGCTCCTTTTCCAAGCCGGCAGACTGAGTCCAGGCTCAGTCCCATTTCCCACCTCAAATAACCAACGTCCGTCCTGAGTCTGGTGTGTGAGGAGGCCACTTGTGCTGCTGCTTAGGAGACAGATGCTAAAACGGGGCCCCGCCTGAGCCCTGGTGCATCCTACCCAAAAGTGAGACAGACCTGGTCTCTTCCACCAGGCAAGAATTCAGGCCTGGCTCCTCCCTGCATTTTTGGTTTGGGAGACCCGCCTCAGACCCAGGTGTCTTTGTATGCGCTCCGGTGCTCTGGGTGCTCAGCCGCTGATGTGTCTCCCCCTCTGTCCCCTCCCCATTTCTCTTCCCTTTAGGTCCTGGCCTGGCCTTCATTGCCTACCCAAAAGCTGTGACAATGATGCCGCTGCCCACGTTTTGGTCCATTCTTTTTTTTATTATGCTTCTCTTGCTTGGACTGGATAGCCAGGTATGTATAGATCAGGGGCTGGCCCCGGGGTGGGACTGTTCATGGGGAACTCAGTTCTAGAAAAGCCTCCTTTTCTATGCTGTCTGTGAGGTCGTTACACCCTACCCACCTTCACATCGGACTTGCAATAGCTTCCGCTAACGAGGGTTCCTCTGGGACCCCAGGAGTGGAAAAGGCTTCAGGGCAGGAGAAGGACATCTACCTCAAAGCTGAAGTCTTTGACCTCAGCAAGGTGAAATGGACAGCTGAGGTGCGTGGTTAAAATGAAGCCACAAGCGGAAAATAAAAGGGCAAGACCGAAACAGAAATGATATGCTCTCCTGTGGAGTGGCTGGGTGGGGGTACAGGAGTGACACGGCATACGGGCAATTCGGGGAAGGAACCAACATCTCTGCTTAGGGCCACGAGGTGGTCACTGCCTGGGCCAGCATGGAGAGTTCTATCTAAGTGGAGCCAGAGAAGCCTAAACCACACTCTATTCTGTGCTTCCTGGAGCATGTGAGTTGGAGAGCTTGTCCCCAAAGTAAAATGGAGACCCTCCAGTGCTTCCTAAACAGCTGAGCACTGGGGAACTTGGCTCAGACCTGCCCTGTCCTCTGGCCATCCTGGCTTCTGCCCTCCCGAGGTAGGACTCCACTGAGGCTATTTTCTGTACTTCTTAAACTCCATGTCCCATCCCTCTAGGCCTGAGGCCTCCACTGGGTGCTCAGTGAGAGCCAGCCAGGGCCTGCGTCTGGCTTTGGAGTAACACAGTTCCAAGTCCTCCATGCCGCTGTGTGACACTGGGCACTTTTCATTCCCCTCTGAGCCTCGGTTTCCTCATCTGATAAATGAGCATGATTGTGCCTCCACTGCCTTGTGTGAAGTACCAGGCACAGTGCCTGGTGCAGAGAATTCACTGGTGCTTGGAGGGTGATAGTGTGAGCTCTTGGTCACCTGTCCCTGGAGATATGTGTGGTATTTTCACTGGGGCCTTTTCAAGACAATTGTTTCCAGTACAGACATGACTCCATAAGTGGGGAGTTATGGTGTACAGGGCAGGCTGGTCATGTGCCCAGGCCAGTTAGGGCCCTGCCTGTGGTGCCACCCAGGGACCAGCCTCTGAGGTCAGTCACTGAAAGCAGGCATTTTGCAGCCTCATGTGTGGCCTAGGGGTCTGACTGCCTCAGGGATAGTCTTTGGTCATCTGAGACCCAGTGAGAGGTGGGGGCCTGTGGCCAGTTTAGGAAAGGACTTTGCCACCTGCCCCGAGGGCAGCAGCCTGGAAGCCAGTGCCCAGGGCTGGTCCCAAGGGACTCAGAACCAGAGAGGAGAAAAGCCTTAGGAGGTCAGGCAGAGGAGAGGAGGTGGTCTTCCAGCAAGGTCAAGAACAGAGTGAAGGATTTGGCAGAAAGGGGACCAGGATTAGCAGAGAAGACAGAATGAAAACATTTGGGAGATTGAAAACAAAATACTTACACAGTTGTTGATGGGCCCCATTAATCATTTCTAGTTAATGAGTTTGGCTTTGGGAGGCGCCCCAAATAGCTTTTATAACTTCTTCCAGACCTCTAAGTGAAAGCAAAAAACAACAACAGAGAGAAGTTAATAAATGATGAAGGCTGACATCTCCATGGGTCCAAAATTGGCCTCTTGGGCTGTGGAAACCTACTCCCTGAGCTAGTGGTTTTATTCATTAGATTTTCTCCCTGGGAGGCAGGCAGGGCCGGCTGAGGATGTGCACCTCCTGAGCTAGGCCCCGTGGCGGCCAAGGCACTAAGGGAATCTCAGTGAGTTCTAAAGCCAGGCTCAGAGGGAGTGGTTCTCTTCCCACTTCAGAGCATGGAACATGGCTCTGAGCCCTTAAATGACCTGCCTACTGAAATACCAACAAGTGGTACGGTGGGATTATACCGGGTAAGCTGGGGCATGGTATCCAGGGCTCAATGGCATAGGTTGGGATCCCTCCTTGGCACTATGTGCTATGTGAACTTGGGGACACGGGGGAAAGTTTTGCCAATTCTGGTGACTGCCTCACACACCATGAGCACTATGACAGGATCAGAGCCATTCGAGCTGTTTACACGGGCCAGCCTTCATGCCAGGCGTTTTATGTGCATGTATGTTGGTGAAACACAAGGAACACGAAACTGATCGCCTTCATTTGTAAGTATGCAGGTCAGTAGTATTAAGTACATTCACATCGTAGGACAACCATCACCAACCACCCTTCATCTCCAGAATTTTTCATCTCCCCAAACTGAAACTCTGCTCCCATGAAACACTAACTCCTCCTCAGTCCCCCCTTCCCAACCTGGCTTTATTCTGCATTAGCTCCTTAATCCACACAATGTCCTGATGCCCAGAAAACTGAGGCTTAGAGAGATGAGGACTCCGAAGGCTGAGGTCATGCACAGCCAGTTAAGGGGTGGAGCTACGACTTGACCCTGGGGCTGCCTGTTCCCAGACCTGCTAGTTTGTCCCCTCTTGCCTTATTTTTGAGTTACCCCAAAATAGCTTCCTCCTGTGGAAGTGCAGAGACCCAACGCCAACCTTAGACAGGGCCTCTTGCTGATGGAGGAGCGTGACCCTGGCTCATTACAGGAAAAACTCTCCCCAAATTTCTTGCGCTTAAGGGAGCACCCTCTGGCTTAGGAGCCCTCGTGCTGCTGAGGGTTTTTTGGTGAGATGGAGTAGGGATATCACCCACGTGGAGGCAGATGCCTGTAGATGTCTGGCCTGCCCAAGGTGGGCACAGTTGGTGAACAAACAGCATGAGAAGAGAGTTGGAGCTCCCCTCCCAGGAGCTCACCCACCCCAGCCCCCTGACATGGGTTACGATTAATTACCCAATTGCCAATTCACTTGAATGGTTTCAAATGTCTCCGCATCCCTGCTGAGTAGGCAGTTTCCTCCCATTTTACAGGAGGAGGCTTGGAAAAGTCAGGGCCACATACCTATTAAGTGAGGGAGGCCTGAAGAGGCTGGTGGAGCAGGGGTGAGGGGTGGGGGTGGTGTTCCTTGGAAATGCAGGAAATTTGGAAACGAGGGGCTTGTGCTGGTCTTGACCCTGACTCACGGTGACATTGGATCTTCCTGTCTGTAATTTCCCTATCTTGAAGAAAGAAAGAACCTTTGTTTTTAAACTCCTTTTGAAGCTTAACATTTGAGCTGCAGGTTTGCTGTAATTCAGTGGCGATTTAGGTTCAAAACCCCTTGAGCCGACACATCATTCAGAGGTCAAAATATCAGCCTCTTGTATTTGTTCCCTTTTCAAGAACCTTTTGGTCATCTCTTCCTGAATTCCTGGCAACAGAAGTCATTTCTCCTGCCCCTTTCAGCACATGAAAGGGACCCACTCCTTGTTTGTATTCCCTGATCCTCCTGTGGTACATGCATCCCAGAGGAGTAAGGGGTTGGACTTGTCCTATAGGAATGCTGGGGCAACGCCCTTCCCAAAAGCCTCTCCCAGATGAGAGAACAGATCGGACGGGTGGAGGTTTTAGCTTTTCAACTTTTAAAGGAATCAGATTAGCCTCAGAGGGTGAGTTGATTGGCAGGGCAGTTTGTCCACAGCCATCCCAATGTAAAATGCGTCTACTAGCCCCTTAATCCTGAAGTTTCATTTGTATAGATTGTGCTATGGTTCCATGTGCACATGCACCTAAAGACAGATATAGGGGAAGAGTCCTTGCCCAGGTCCGTAGCTACAGAGCCTGGAAGCCATCGGGTGGGCACTGATTGGGTCCATGATGATATGTGTCCACAGGATGGAGTTTGACCCCTCCATTTTAAAAACGAGGCAGCTCTCCATGAAATGATATGGAACAGTCTCCAAGACAAATTGTTAGGTGCAAAGATGGGAAGATTTAGAGATTGAGAGTCACTCTAGGATGTTACCTCACATTTGGAAGCCCCGGGATGGGTTCCCGGGGTCCCTGAGCCCTGGAGCCATGGCTGCATTGGGCTCACGCCTATGAGCATGGAGGAGTACACACACACATGCAAAATTCTCTTGTTGGCCTACGGTCCCCAAAGGGTTAAAAGCCCCCATATGTGTCTGATGGGGGAATTGAGGCCCAGACTTGCCCTTGGTTGCCTCCTCATTCGTCATGTGTCTGTTGAGCAACCCTGTGCCTGGCCCGGCTGGGCACTCAAAGCCTGGAAATGAGGGCGTACCGCCCCTGCTTCAGAGAGCACCAAGGCCAAAGTAGGGGGAGGTTGTTGTGTCAACATACCAGGGCAGAGGGTCAGCATTGGCTTCAGAGAAACGGTCATTCCTGAGCTGAGTCTTGAATGGGAAGGGAAAGGCATTCTGGTGGCTGGACGAGCCTTGGCAGTGATGTGAGGTGTGGAATACAAGGAGAACTGTGCGTGGGCTACCATGACCTGACCCTCAGGCAGAGCCTCCAAGTTCACGTTTGGACTTGACCCCAAAGGGCAACTCTGTGTGCCTGGCTCTCCTCTAAGCAGAGGGGAGGTACTGGGCATCTACCACTCAATTGCTCTTTTTTTCCCCCCCCAGTTTGTTGAAGTCGAAGGACAGATCACGTCCTTGGTTGATCTTTACCCGTCCTTCCTAAGGAAGGGTTTCCGTCGGGAAATCTTCATCGCCTTGATATGTAGCATTAGCTACCTGCTCGGGCTGACGATGGTGACGGAGGTAGGTGACTTCTTTCTCACCTGGCACGAGGGGCCTCCCCTTGCAGGGCCTTTGGTGCCTCAGATACATGTCTCAGAGCAATTCAAGGCCACACCACCTCCCTGGTTCCCCTAACAACTGGATGAGAGGACCAGGGTGGGTAATCTCCAAACCCCACTCAATTCAGGGGTCCTGCCCTGCCCAGGGGACTCAGCCTACACTGTGAGGGGGAACCCACTAGTGGACCCAAACTCCCCCTACATCTTTTCCCACTGGGTTATCATGGCAACAGTGTTCCTCTCTGTCTCTCCCTTATCCTGGGAGGCCTGGGCGGAGGCATGCTTCAGCTAAAATCCATTTTAACAACAGCCCTGTTCACTCATGACTCTGTGCAGCAGCCCTTCACAGGCCTGGAGCGGAGGTGGTTCTTGAGGGTAAATACTGCAGATGGTGGGTTACTAGGTCTGGTTGACCACAAGTGTTGCTGGTCAGCGGAGGGGGGTAGGGGCCAGAGGAGGACCCATGTAAAGTGGGATAAAGAAGCGAAGAGAGGAAGGGAGAAAGAGTGTCTAAGGCAGCAGTGGTTTAGCATGTCTAGCAAGAGGTGGGCCAGAAAAGCAGGTTCTTGTACTAAATAACATAAGCATGTGAGCCTCGCACAGGCCCAGGACACACACACTCTTGTACAGCTCCCCACCCACCTCCCAATATTCTTCAGCAAAGGGTTGCGTTAGCCTCCAGGCTCAATTCAAGGTTTCCCATCACCACTTTTCCTTACTGGAAGTGAAAGTAAATGTTTTTTTTCCTGGAAGTGCCTGTAAAGAAACCTCCCCCACAAAAGGCAGCTCACAAGTCCACACACTGAGCAGCTGCATGTTGCTGAAATCTGTGGGGTTTAAGTTCCTCCTTTGGAAGCAGGCTTCAGGGAACCCATCAGGTTTTGCTTAGGGAGACATGTTGGTTTGCTTTCGTGTGTGTGTGTGTTATCAAACATGAAGTAGAGAATCATTTTACACAGGTATCTGGTTATCATAGCCTTTGCCCATTATCATAGCCTTTTCTTACTAATATGTCAGAGTTCTTTATATATTAAGGCAATTAGATACCAAACAACCAATCAACCTTCTCTGGTTTTTTTCCTTCACAGGGTGGCATGTATGTGTTTCAACTCTTTGACTACTATGCAGCTAGCGGTGTATGCCTTTTGTGGGTTGCATTCTTTGAATGTTTTGTTATTGCCTGGATATATGGTGAGTACTGGTTTTTGCATATTCTTCCCCAGGTCTCTCCTTTGGGTCTCTCTATTTAAAACCTTCAGAAACAGAATTCTAAGGGGAGTTCATTCTTCTTTAAATACAAAGGCCTTCCCTACCAGGACTTTTCATCTGAAGGCTACCCCATTGCTACACGAATAGTATCGTGGTAGCCATACTATAGATTCTCCCCATGCTGAAGGTGCAGGATGTGACTGTATGTTTTAACAAACACATAACTTGGCGGTACAGGGGTCTGTCTATGATTAACTACTCTAGGGTTCAGGAATGGTCCATTAGGACCGCCTTGAGACCTTGAGTTGGTCACACCAGGATTTGGGTTGGTATGCCTCAGGTGGCCCCCAAAATATAAGATGCCCAGTTAATTTTGAATTTTAGATGAGTTTAGATAAATACCTGCCACACTTGGGTTTATGTGGTATAAGACAGGGACCTAGATCAGGCCCCAGAGACCCCTTATGGCCCTTGAGCGCTTGCTCTGCTATTGTCAGGGTGGATGCTGGCATTGGACAAGTGTCACCATCTGATCACTTCATTGTCTTGCAGGCAGCGATAACTTTTATGACGGTATTGAAGACATGATCGGCTATCGGCCGGGGCCCTGGATGAAGTACAGCTGGGCCGTGGTCACTCCAGTTCTCTGTGTTGTGAGTTTTCTTCTGCCTGGCTGTGGGTTGTAGCCTTTTCTCATCTGCTAAACCATCCTGAGTTCAGCATTTGCCAAGTGCTGGGAAATGCATGTAACAAGTCTAGTGACAGCTCTGCCTGGACAAAGGTGGTGCAGTTGGCTCCAGGTTAGCTTGAGATGAGTTTGGAAGAGTGAGTAGGAGCTTGTCAGGGAGAGAAAACAGGAAGGGCATTCCTGGCGGAGGAACCAGCCTGTACAAAGGCACAGCGTTCTCAAAGAGGAAAATGTATCAGGGCATGTTGAGAAACTCAGGGGGTCCTCATGGAGCACATAGCCTTTCCTCAGACCCTTCCAGAGCTCACAAGCCCAGCTTCAGTCACTGATGATGTTAAAGGGCCATTAGGACGTCCGAAGGAGAGGCCACAGACATTGGAAATGTGGTGTTTCCATGGCAGGGTGGGGATTGTGGCTAGAGAGGGGACATCCCAGCAGAGAGATACTCTGAGCTCTCCCAAGATCAAAGAAGCTGCATACCTGCCCAGGACCCAAGGGCGATGAGGTGCCACATTCCTCTTCCCGCCAGGGTTCCCTCGCCTGCCATCAGCATACCCAGGCACCCTGCCTGCTTCGAGGCCCTGCTCAGAGGCTCCAGCCAAAGGGAAGTCCTCTGAGGCAAAAGCTGCTTTCCTGTCAGTGTTTGAAACCAGCTGTGAGCTTTGGAGCCAATTGCAGGGGAACCCATCTGCTCTGCTGTTCTCGGCTCACACCTTGGGAAGAACAAACGGCAATTATATTGCATGTAGGGACCAGGGCTGAGGAACAAATGGGCCCTCCCGTCAGTGACCCCTGTCTTTGGCAAGAATAAGTCAATATTGCCATTAACTCACTGTGTGATCTCAGGTGAGTCCCTTCCCTCTCAGGCCCCTGTTTCCCTCATTTTAAAACGAAGAGACTGAGTGGCAGCCGACAACCTTAGGTTGTTACTGTTATTATTTAATACGGTTTTGGCCTTTGCACCTGAGGCATATATTTTCCCCATAAAAATAGCAGCCAGTAACCACCACAATCGGTGAGTTTATTTCTAGAGATGAATTTTGTTGGGTTCAAAGCCTACATTCTCATTTTCACTTCATGTTTGTGGGCACCGCCTCTCACCACTCTGACCATCAGTTTCTTCCTCACTCCCTTCCTGAGGAGTTGCATAGATCAGAAATAGGTTGCATTCTACGGTGAGAGAATGAAGCCACCCTAGTAGGAAGAGGAATGTGACAGGCAGGTGTGGGTCTCCGGCAGGTACAAGCTTCCTCATGTTGGGAAAAAACAGAGCAGCCATCTCCCGGCACTTTCCCTGTCTAAGCTACAACCCCACAAATAAGGACAGAAACAACCAGGCCAAGCATGCAGCGGGTGCCCAATGGAAGGCATCTGCAGCCTAACGCTCTCTTCCTTCCCTGTCATCAGTTCTGATGTAGATAGATTTGTCTTCCCATCAAACCCCAGTTATCAGATAATGAGGATTTAAGTCACTTTCACATCGTGGGTCATCCGAGACAGCCTGGGTTATACTCTGAGATGCTGTCATTCTGACTAGAGCAGGAGCCCTGGGCCCTCCCAGCCAGCCTTATGTGGCAATGGGGTTTTGGCACAGGCTTTGGGGCTCAGAGCTCACACCACCTCTTCCCACCCCGCTGTTCATGGATGCTTATAGCCACTGGCCGTGTGCGGGGGCTCAAGGCTGGGCTGTGGACACCCAATAGGGCAAGGCCCAGGTCCACACTTTGTCCTGGGGGACTGGGCCTGGTACTTGGAGGTGGAGATGGGTGAGGAGGGGGGAAAAGGATGTCACCCATGCAGCTAGCATTTGTTGTGCACCTACTGTGTGCATCTGGAACTGCACCAAGTGTTAGAGAAACAGGAGAACAAGACACACACTTCTCACCCTCACTGACTCAGGCTGGGTGGGGCGCCGTGTGCCGAGGAAGTGATTGTGAGTGATCACACGCTTTTGGGGAAGGAAAAGTATGGGTGCCCCATTGAGTCTGGGCAGGGCCTGGGCCAGTAAGGTAAATTTAAAGCTAATTTAAAGCTAAATTAGAAGGAGGAGAAAGTGAGGGGAAAGAGGTCCTGTCAGAGGGAACAGCCTGGACTAAGGCCTTGGGGCCAGTGGCTGAGGAGCTGGAAGGAATTCAGGGTACCTGGAGTGTAGACTTGGAGGAAGAGGAGGCGATAGGGCGAGGGGAAGGGGCACAGCTCCTGGTGACATTCCAGCCAGGCTGAGGAGTGTGGCCTGCACCCTGAAGGCGTTGGGGAGCCACAGAAGGTTTTGAGCAGAGAAGTGACTCAGTCAGATTTGCATTGGGGGAGGTCCTTATGCTGCAGAGTGGAGAAGGGTGTGAGACTCTTTGGGTGGGGCCTACCCTGGTCCCAGAAGCCCCCCACCCCTGATGCCTGAGATAGCCCTGACTGCCCCCATCTCTCCACAGGGATGTTTCATCTTCTCTCTCGTCAAGTACGTACCCCTGACCTACAACAAAGTGTACGTGTACCCCACCTGGGCCATCGGGCTGGGCTGGAGCCTGGCCCTGTCCTCCATGGTGTGTGTCCCCTTGGTCATGGTCATCCGCCTCTGCCAGACGGAAGGGCCGTTCCTCGTGGTGAGTACAGGGCCCCAGCTGGATTGAGGGGGAGGCCAGCCTGCTGTCCATTTGCTCTGTGACCTTGGGCGCATCACTTGCCCTCTCTGAGTCCTAGACCCCTACCTGCCCCATGGAGCGGTTGAGATTGTGGGTGGGAGAGCGTATCATGAGAACACTGCATCATGAGAAGGCCCTGTGGTGACATTCAGAGCAGGACTCTGGCAGGAGGAGGAATTTGCCAAGCAGAAAATGTGAAACAGGAGCATGTGGTTTATGGTGCTAGGAGGTGTGACAGCACTTGGACCGTAGTGACATGTTCTGGGGGGTGGACGATGAGGCTAGAGAGGTGATAGCAGCTTTGGATGCCAAGCTAAGAGCTAGGGCTTTATCTTGGGAGCAGTGGAGCTGCGTTTCTGAAGTGCTGAGATGAGCCGGGGAGGAAGCCTGAGGTCCGCCCAGAAGCCCCCCCTTACCCTGCAGTCAAGTGGCAGATAAGCCCAGAGCAAGCTGGTATACCCCTCCCCAGATCGGTGGCCTCATCTGCTGCCTGGCCCTCAGAAGCCACCTCTGCCCAAGGCAGAGCCTCTTGCTTCCAGGCCTCTGTGTCTGCCAGTCTGCCCCCCTAAGGCCCCCTCCGCACAGCCCACCTCCTCTCAGAAATTCTTCTGACAATACTGTAGATTCCAGGCCTGGCAAAAGCCGGGACTCTTTCCAAGAAATCCTTTTCTTAGAATCTCCCTTAACCTTTGGGCTTGGGCTGGCTCCAAGACTGCACTGTTTTGTTCTGGGCTGTTTTTATTGTTATTCTCTTAAAAATCTGGAGCCAGGATGTCCTGGGGCCCTGGCTCCCCCTTAGGCTGGGCCGGTTTCCTTGTGGGCAGAGGAATGGCCTGGAGGTGTTGGTTGGGGGGGGGGGGGTGGGGAGGAGAGGCCAGGCAGAAAGGGACCAGCCTTCCCAAGACAAACGAAGTAGGCAGGGGTGTGCCAGGGAGAAAAACACAGAAGCTGAGTCTGTCTGAGCCAGCACAGCCCTGGGGTGTTCCTGCAGGATTGGGCTCGCTGTGTTTTCTCAGGGGACACAGGGAAGGACCCCAGTACTCAGCCAGAACATTGAATGGCCTATCGTTTGTTAAAATATTGAACTACTAGGCCTGGGACAGATGGGCAATAGCTACTGCCCTGAGCCCTCCAGGCACTCTCCTAACATACCCTATGCCAACCCAGCCCCTCCCTGGGAATCTTCAGAATATCCCTACCATCCAGAAACTAAACGGTTAGTTGGAGGCATAGCACAGGGGCTTGGATGTCTTTTCTGATTGATCACTGCCCACAGCAATTACATAGTTTACCCATGCGAGGCGGGGCACTGTTCAACCATGGGAGAGGGACACTACCTGACAGGTCACTAACTTGTGTCCCTTCAAAGCTTAATTTTGAAATATTGTTCTAACCTCAGTTTAGAGGTTTGGTCAGAGTGGGATTGGTGAGGGGGCGGGTGAGGAATCTACCCCAACTTACATCTTTTCCTCATCTACAAACATAACCCCCTCCTCTGAAGGTGAGTGAGCCACCTGTCTTTGCTCTATATGCCCCCCCGCCCCGGGGCTCCCACCTGTTCAGAAGGTGTCCTCCCAGCTATGGACATCTCTCTGAGCCAGGTTCTGCAAACCCAGGTCTTGGTCCTGGGAGGAGCCCAGCTGCATCTCACCTCCCATATAAAGGGAGCCCAGGTGGCTGCCTGTGGTGTTTGCCTCTTGTCCTACCTTCCGTGTGCACACCCCATTATGCAGATGTGCAGACAGGCAGAGCAATGAAAGGGGAGCAGAGCCTACCCTTCCTGCTGGCATGCCACCTCTCAAACTTTACCTGGGGCCTCCAGTCGGTTCCTCCAGGGACCAGGCAGGCAACCCAAATGAGGGCAGCACTTGGGCAGGGTGGGGAGTACACTGGAGAAGGCGATGGAAATCCACAGCAGGTAGCCATGTGCTCAGCTCTGGCCAGTTATTACCGGGAGGGAACGTGGGGTCTGGAGGTGCCAGATCTTGCAATTTTTAAAGAGACGATAGAAATCTGGATTTTCAAGTGAAATAATGTAGCTTCTAATAAGCAGCTTAAAAAAGTATTATATACCTAAATTGAATGCCGAGAGAACTGCTTGTTCACAACTGCGTTCTATTTAAGCTTCTGAGTGGACACTTGACAGGGGTGGGCTGGGAGGCAGGAGTCCTGAGTTTTGAGTCCCAGTTCTGCCATTGCGGAGGACTCTTTTCCTCACTAATTCCTTGAGTGGGCTACCAGCTAGGAGCACAGAACTCACTCTGCCCGGAAGTGATGTGAGAATTCTCCTGCAGTCCAGGCTCTGGCTCCCCTGTTGGAAGGTGCAGCTCCGATACAAGCAGTGGTCTCCAAGTCCAGGCAGAACCTGCAGGGGTGGGGGCAGGGAGTGGCAGGGAACTTGGATGCCTGCAAGGAAATGGGGAGACCCTTCTGCGAGAAGACAGGAAATGCATGTAGCTTGTGGGAGGCTGAGGAGTGTGGAGTTTCTCTTTGGGGAAGGTGGGAGTCACGGGAGGCTCAAGACAGTTATCCAACTTTGGGCATACAGATTGCAGAAACTCAGCTGCTTTGCAAGTCAGAGAAATCGGGGCTAGGGATCACAGTGAGGCATACTAGTATGTCTGCTCCATGGGAAACAGAAGTCAGGGCTTGGCAGTTCCAGCCCCCATTCCTGAGGTGTGTCAGCAGGGTTGGCAAGGAAACGACCGACTGAAATTCTACCCTGATTTGGGGCCTGACGGGACCTTAGGAGCACCTTAGCTCAACTCCTTTATTTGCCAGTGGATGAAATGGAAGATCCAGAGAGGGCAGTAGTTTGCCAGAGGCTAAGCAGTAGGGGGATAGATGCCCGTGGTGAAAAGGGAACCAGGCTGCCTGACTTCCTCCCACTCCTGTCCCCTTCCTTCTCCAGAGACTCAAGTACCTGCTGACCCCGAGGGAACCCAACCGCTGGGCTGTGGAGCGAGAGGGGGCCACACCCTACAGCTCCCACCTGGCCATGAATGGCGCTCTCATGAAACCGACCCACATCATAGTGGAGACTATGATGTGAGCTCTCTCGGGTTGACGGGGCTGCTTTCCTGCTGTTTACTAACATTAGATTCTCATAGGACCAGGTTTACAGAGCTTTATATTTGCACTAGGATTTTTTTTTTTAATTGTCACAGAAAATATTACTGTGTGTGCGTGTGTGTGTGTGCGTGTGTGTGTGTGGTGTCGTGTGTATGTGTATTTTGTTTTGATTTGGGGATATTTTGTAAAAAAAAAAGAAAACCCATGGGCAGAAAGTCCAGGGCGAGGCAGAGCTTTCATACTGAATTAGATGTATTTTATGGGAACTTGGTAAATTTTTCTTTGTATTTTTTTTAACATATAACTATATATACACTTAGAGATTGTCATACACTTTTACCACTTGAATTGATCTTCTTGCCAGCAATAGATCTCGTTTTCAAAAGCAATTCTTCGGTGCTTGTGTAGCTGGCAGAAAGTTCTGCCCCAAAAAAACACAGGGTGGAATTTTCCTGGGACAGCAGACCCATTTTACAGGTGAAGTACCTCCCAAACCTGGTTCAAGTAGAAGCAAAAAGCAGGGAGAGGGCCTCACCCACTGGCCAGACCCAGAGGGGCTAGAGAGAGGAGGGCTGTGAGGAAACGCCTCATTATATTTGTTTTAGCCAAGAAGAGAGATGCCAAAATAATGAACCAGTCCTCAGATCAAGGCCCTGACTTAAAGCTGACAGGTGAGCCCTACAGCAAAAGTCTGATTCTAAGAGCAGTAGAAGCCATTCCACTAGGAACAAAATCCCACCTTTTATTCTGAGATCAAGGACGGATTGTCAGATGGACTGTCAGAACCATTCAGCATAGGGCTGGTGAGGATGGGGCTCAGGCGTTCAGGAGTCCTTGTGAAGCCGACTGCTCAGCCGCTGTCCTTCCTGGGATGTCCCAGGTAGAGGCCTGATGCCAGCCCAGCAGGAGGAGCTGGCCGTCTCAGGGCTCTGATCCTCACACAGATGGGTCTGTCGCATTTCTGTGGGGTCCTATCAGGTTTTGGTCATTCCCCAGCGGACATCTCTCAAAGCTGCCTGTAGGAGGGAAGCACCACGTATTTGGTGAGGGACAAGGGGTGAGCGAGTGGACCAAAGGATGTGGGCCCCAGGGTTCAGGGGGCCCGGTGTCGGGAAGGGGTGCTTTTTTCCCCTTGTCTCTTTACCCTCATCTCCCAGAGGCTGGAAAACCCCTGACGAGCTCGTGTTGAAGATCCCAGCCCAGGGCCAGCCTGGCTCCTCGCAGGGAGTGCCAAGAGCATCTTTGGAGGTTCACTGAATCTTTGAATCGTGTGAAATGCTCCCAAACCTCGCCTCCCAGTTCAGTTGCAAGTGCAGAGTGAACCACCCTTGGTAGCCCCTGGGAGACAATACAACTCTTCATTTCACAACCCCTGCAACAGCTGGTGTCAGATACGCACTAAGTGGAAACTGAGGAGAGGCAGTGAGGGAAGTTGGGGTTGTTCAGGGGGCTGGCACCCCAGAACTGGCTCGACCAAGAGCCTTATGTACAGTGGCATCCTCTGAACCAGGAGAGAAGGTACTCCACCTTTAAAATCCCGAGTATGGACACACCTCCACCTAGCTCCCTGTCCACCCAGCTCCCGTTTGGACCTAAACTGTGCCATTTAAACAGTCCCTTCCAAGTTCAGAGTCTAAACTAAACTGCAACATTGTCACGAACAGCAGTTACTGCCTCTAGTGATGTGGAGAGTAAAGTCCAGCTCAGGTTTTCAGAGAGGGGACTCTCTGAATCCTGGAACTCGCCTCCCCAAATTCGGGAGGGGGAGGAGCCTTTGGTGTCCCCCTCCGAAGGGGCAGAGGCAGTTCTGAACCTCTTGTCTTTGGCAAGCTTTCATATTTCGCTGTTTCCAAAGCATATACTCTGCCAAACAACACCTATTCCAAACTGTTCACAGTTCTAACGTGTTCTGTTTTTCTATGTATTTATGGTTGCCGCAGTGTCTGGTTTGATTTTATTATGTTTTTTCCCCCCTAATTTTACTGAGTAGCAATGTGACCTGTTTTCCTCTGTCTTATGGAACTTTAGTAAACTAACCACTGTCAGCGACTGGGGACAGGTGACGTGTGGGAGCGAGGGGGCCTTGGTGAGCTGTGGCTATCTGGGCATCTGTGGCCATTTCAGGCGACATCTCCCCTCCAGGGCTCGGGCCCCAAGTGAAAGGCCACAGGATGGCAGACAAATTGCAACATTCTGGAAATGGCCCGAGGAAGGCCTCTTATCTGATTCCCAGACCAAATTCTAGACCAAAGACACATGCAGACCAAGTCCCCAGGTCCCACCTAGAAGGAAGGTCAGCCACTTGCCCCAAGCCCATTCCTCAACAGTCTCCCCGGCACCTGTCTCCAATTTCGACCCTAGTTCTCATGTATCCTCAGAACTTGGCTCTATGAGTACAACGTGTAATGATGTGTGACTTTTATATATCTCCACATAAAGGAAACTTGTCATTGGCATTCATGACTCTGGTCCACCTGTCTCTCTGCCTGGGATGGGTCGGAAATGTTGATGTCTGCCCATAGTCTGGTCAGTCAGATCTAGAAGGGATGCGAGGGAGCTGTTTGAAGAATTGTTTTAGAAGTGGGTGAGGGCCCCAGTATAAATCTCACCTAGCGAGAAGCTTCACTGAGCTGGGCCATGTTAATCCCTGCAGGGGAGCCACACGGTCAGTGATGGAGAGGGTGCTGGGGCCTCCCAGTTGACACCCTTGTAAAATGGGGAAACTGAAGACTGGAGCAGGGGAGGGACTTTGGTACAGCGAGCTGAGACTGGAACCAGACTGTCTGCAGTCAGTTCCGGCTTCCGATCCTCTGATGTGTATGCGGCGAGTGGCGAGTGCAGCTCCCCACTGTTCTCCCTGAAGACCAAAGATGAGCCTTTAGGAAAAAGGAAATGCTCCATCCCCAGCGTTTAGGGACCAGGTGAGCAGCACCCACCACCCCCTGGCCATCCTCAGGGGCCAGCTGGACCCCAAGCTGTGGCTCACCTATTCACCCTGTTCACCTTGCCCCTGCACCCAGCAGCCCTCTGTGAGTTAAGCATTAAGATCCCTATGGCACATTTGGAAACTGAGGCCCAAAGAAGCCTGATGGTGTATAAGAGGCAGGACCCTTAGGCAGGATTCAGCCTGAGGCCACGTGGGATATTCCCAGGCAGCCTTGCATTCTGATTTCCAGGCAGCATGCAGCACCCTCTCTGTACCTCTGGTCCCTCTTTCACACCCCCAGAGACTGTGGTGAAGCACAAAGGGTTAGCCCTTCTCAGCCTAGCACAGGGCATTCTTGTGTCACCAAGTGCCACAGCACAGTGGCCAGTGGCCCAGCCAGCATCTCTCAACACTGCCCCCCTGGAATGGGGAATGCTCTGGGCAGCCAGTGCTGAAGGCAGAGGTGCCTCCTTTCCCCCAAACCTCAGACACAGGCCAGGAAAGGACCCCAGAGGCGGCTACAGGGCCCATCTAGCCCTCAGATCCAAGGTCAGGCGTCCCCAAGCTAGGCTGACATGGATGCTGTAAATACCACTGTGCAAAAATGCAACAAGCACAAAGTCACAAAACAAAAACCCAGATATCAAAATTGGAGAGGAATATGGGTCCCTCCCTCTCTCAATGCCTGGCCCTCAGAATGCATCTTGTTTTAATAGGAAGCTGTTTCGTTGTTCTCTTGTGGGTGTCACTACACACATGTTCTGACGAGGTCCCTGAGGGGTGGAGCATCTTGTGATACATTTGGCTTCAAACTGAGATGTTTGCTCCATTTTTTTTTTTTTTACCCAATTAATTTTCAAATCCCTAGCAACTGTGACTGTATTTAGCACAAGAGAAAGCTGAGAACGTGGGTCTTGCCTCCTTTCAGAAATATGTCTGGCTCATCAGGACTTTTTTTTAAAACTTCAAAATATTTTTAAAATATTTTAAACTTTTGTAAAAAAAACAAAAAAATCAACCAACGAGAGACTCTTCTGAGGAGGAACATTTGTATTTGAATAAGATCCTTGGTGTGTAATTCAGTCTTGCAATATACAAGCTTTTGTGTATAAATGTTTTATGATATGAATCCCTGTATTTTGCAGGGTGTTTCCTTTCCCCTTTTGCTTTTTAGATAAATATGTATATCGATATTTTAAATTCATCTTTGCTTTTTTTTTAGAGGAGTTTGTAATCACCTTATAACATGAAAATAAACATTTCCTTTTTAAATCCAACACGTGTGGGTTCTCTTTCAATGAAGCTGTTTTTTTCTTGTGTTTGGCAAGTGCTTTACAGTTTATAAAGGGCTTTCAGTCCCACTCCAGAAAGCTCCTCAAAGGTGGGTATTGTTATCCAAGGTTGGAGACACTGAGGCAGAGACTTCCAGTTGGGACTCAAGGCTAGGACTTCCAGTTGGTTTCCTCAAGGGTACACAGCAAGTCCGCAAAAGAGCTGATTTGCACCCAGGTCCACAGACTCCTGAGTCTATTCTGGCGGTTCTACCGATCCTACTGGGTGAAGCCCGCTTGCTACATGCCCAGCCCTGTGCAGCTGGGAGATCTCACACCATCACCTGAGCCTCAATTTCCCTATCTGGAATAACCCACCACCCACTTCAAGGGTTGAGGGGTGATTAGAGGTAAGATTCATAAGGCATCATGCCCTCACCTGCTCTGGCTTCCTTTCCCCCTTTCCCAGCCCAGGGTTATCCTGCTGGAAGCCCAGAAAGGGGATTTGGGGAGGGGAGCACTAACCTGAGTTGGTACCCGTACCCCCCCTGCCCCCTCAGCCCTCCCACCAGGTGATCGCATCCCATCAGGGCTCTCTTATTGCCAAGTGCAAGAGGGGTTGGGAGGCTTCAGGAAGAGAGGTAAGTGGCAAGTCCTGGAGGGAAGCAAATAGAGACCTCAAACTGGGACTTCAGAGGGGAGGACGCTCTGGACCCCAAAAGGTCAGTGGTTGGCACAGATGCCCTCAGCCTGGGGGCTTGTGAGCCCAACCCACTAGTAGAGGTGGGGAAACTGAAGCCAGAAAAGGGTTGATGTTTTGCACAGCCTTCCAAATGTGAGTGGGCGAGGTCAGGGAAGTCCGCTGGGTCCTTTCTTCGACTTCTCAGACCAATATTCTTTCTCAGGAATTCATTATTTATAGACAGTGTTAGAATAACATCTTCCTCCTCCCTTTTTTTCTGGCTGGCTGCCTTTCTGATGGCCCTGTCCACCTTCCTTACTCCTCTGAGTGTTTTGGCCATATGGCTTGTGTTCAAATCCCGGTTCCATCCCTTCTTACCTGTGTGACCTTGGGCAAGTTACTTAACCTCTCTGTGCCTCATTTCCTCATCTGTAATGTTGGGATGGTAATTGAGCCATCTCTGAAGGCTGTAGGGAGGATTCAGGGAATAATTGCAAAGCTCTCAGAACAGTGGTTGGTATGCAGCCAGGCTGAAGGACAGGTGCTATCTCTTTAGGAAGACCAGCAGTGCCCTGTGCAATACTACAGCCCCCAGCTTTCCTAGTACAGCCACATAAATGCACCCGATGTGGTCCAGCCCCTGCTTACACCCCTTCTGAGATGGGGAGCTCACTCCATCTGGCATAGCTGATGGGAAGCTCTTCCTCTGCCTACACAGAACTGTGGTTCCCTTGGTTGGACCCAGCCTTGCCCTTTGGGCTCGTGCTACCCAGGACACCATGTAGAGACTCGGCACCTCCTGGCCCCTTCCCCACCCCGGCAGCAGACCCACCACTCACCTGCCTCAGCAGCTTCTCTCTGCACATTCCATAAAATCCATAATCCCCACCCAAGCGTTCACAATTGGGCTCTGTGACCTTCATTCTGTTCTCTAACTTCACTCCCTTCCATGTTTCCTTTCTCTTCCTTGAACCCCCCAAGTTCATTCCCACCTCAGGGCCTTTGCACTTGTTGTGCCCACTGCCTGGGGCATTTCCTCCGTGTCACCACAGGGCTGGCTCATGTCCTAAAGGTCTTGGCACAAAAATTGCCTCTTCAGCGAAGCCCTTCCTGACCCCTTGAGCTAAAGGTCCCCCCACCCCCATCACTCTCTTATCCCCATTACTGTTTTGTTTTCTTCATTGAACTTTATTCCTCCTGAAAGAATTCTTTACGATTTTGCTCACTTATCTTTCACTGGAATATAAGCTCCATGCAGACAGGGACTTCATCTATCTTGTTCCTGTTGTTTTCCCAGGGGCTAGAATGATGCATAGTACAAAGCAGACTTTTTGAATGGATGCATTAATGAATTAATCAAAAGCAGGTACTGTTGTCACATGATCCATACAGAAGCTGACTCTTGACAGCCTATGATTTAAAAAAGAAAAAGGAGGCCAAGAGATGAACATGTGAGGAAACAGTGTGAAGGGGCAGTCATCTGCAAGCCAAGGAGCGAGGCCTCAGAAGAAACCAAACCTGCCGACACCTTGATCTTGGACTTCCAGCCTCCAAAATTATGAGAAAATAAACTTCTGTTAAAAAAAAGAAAAAATGTAGGACCCCTCCCACTCCAGGTGCATTTAAGTAATTTTATTTTAAAAACCCCAAATCATCCCACCAGCACCCCATCCCAAGCTCCTCAGTCATTGCAGCCCTCTGTGGGACAGACAGATTTACACAGGGCCCAAACAGACCCCAAATGGCCTTTACAGTGCAGGCCCTTAGCATGTGGTGCTTCCCAAGAGCCCTAAGAAACCCCGTGTAGAAAAATACTTTACAAGGAATATGCTTTCATCTCAGCCAGAGAAAAATACAGCTTTTAGGGGGTAGAAGGGGCATGTTGCAGGGGCTGTATCCAAAATGCATAGGCAGGCAGGATGCTCACGGGGGACGGGTATCAGGAAACAAGTCTGGGATGAACAATCCCCATGAGAAGCCAGAAGAAATATTGCATATGAGAAGGCCGGCCATAGCGAGGAGGTCCACCTGCCTGGCCTAGTTGCATATGTCCGGATAGGGTGTGCTGGGGGGAACGGCAGAAACCTCAGCCCAAGGGAGGGAGGGGTGTTGGTCAGGGTCAGGATGCATCTTCCCTCACCTGCAGTCCAACATGGCTTTACCAAGCCCAGAGGCCCTCGGAGTGTGTTCTGTCCAGCTCTGTCAAGTGACATAGGCCCAGAGAGGCTGGAGTTCACACAGTTGAGGCTGCGGGCAGCCATGTCTGCTGTGCCCCTCACGGGCCCCCCAAGCTGAGGGTCCTTGGCTTTTTCTTGGTGCCCCTGTGATGGGTTGGCAGTGCCCTTTCACTTTGGGGCAGATGTTGACACAGGAATCCAGGATAGCAGAGGCACTGAGCAGTTCAGCCAGGGCATGAAGGGCTCTCCAGGGAGGGTGTGGGGGACCAAGACGCAGAGGTGTGGTGGCGGTGGGGGGGGGCGTGGAGGCAGGCCCTCAGGGAGAGCGTGGGTAGAGTGCCCAGGAAGCCTCCATGGACAGGGAGGCTCAAACCTGCTCAGAGACTGTCTACCCCTTGATTGTCCGTAGGGAGTATCAGACTCAGAGGGGGTCACACAGCAAAGCAGCGACCCAGTGGGAAAAGAACAGGCATCTTGACTCCCCATCTGGTCTCTTGAGTAGAAGAGTGTTTTTCGGGCCTCCAGGGCATGCAGGGGTGGAGGAGGGTGCAGGTGGCAGTGGGTGCCTCCTGTTTTCTTGAGACCCCCTTAAGAGATGGGCAGGGGCAAAGCAAAACCTAGACCTGGGTGCATCCCGCCTGCCCACCTCCATCCCAGAGGCCACACCGCAGACCACCAGGTGGAGGCCCTGTGTCCTTCTCAAAATCAAAAGGGTTTCTGGGCTGTGGGAAATGAGAAAACAAGTTTAAGAGATGCTAGTGCTTCCAGATTTCAAGTGGAAAGAAACTTCCTTGAATGACCACTTTGGACACTGTCACCAACGGGTGTGAGAGAGAATGGCCCCTCTCTCTGGCTTATCTCTCTGCTGCTGTGTTTCCCCCTTCATCTCTGTGCTTCTCCCTTTGTCCTCCACTGAGTTGGACATGGGAGGAGCTGCATCAGCTTACACATCATACTTCCATGGCTTCCCATCTTCACTGAATGGCAGATGAATGGAGCCCCCTGGATCTTTTGTCCCCAAATGACTCCCTCCTCATCGAGGGACCTGGGCTGAGAAGGGTGGATGCAGATGGGTCAGCAGCCACGTATCCTACAAAAGCAGCAGGAGGGGCTCAGCCCAAAGCCCGGTGCGTCTAAAACTGCAGTCTCGAATCACAGAAGCGCTGGACCCAGTGACTCCAAAATGAAACAATCACTGACTTTCCTATCAAAGGGCTGGTGCTTCTTGGATTCCAGATGCCCCAACTCAAACTATCCTAAGTGGGGACGCTGGGATGTAGAGAATCTCGGAGCCAGCACATCCCAAACACCGGAATTCTACAGAACAAAATGAGGTGGGCTCCTATCCTAAGCAGCATCCTTCCTGGAGGTCAGCTCTCCAGCTGAAGTGGCCCCCCAGCCTCACCCTGAATGCCCCCCCCATTGGGAAACTAACCTTCTGAGCTCATGTGGATGCCTCACTGGGATGCCTCACACCTCAGTCAACAACGACACTGGGGTATCCAGCTCCCGTTTGCTCACCTTCTGTGACAGGGAGCTCACTACTCCCTGGCAGCTCATACCAGCTACACAGCTCTGCTGGGAGAATGTACTTCCTACCGTGAGCTGGCTTTCCCCTCACCAGACACCCCTCCGAGGAGGCCCTGTGGGGACCTAGGGCCACCCCCAGGCCCCTCTTCTCTTGGCTGAGTAGCCTATCCCTTATTGAGCCAGGCACCTCCGGGGTATCTTGGAGACCCAACATGGAGAAAAGACCTAGACGCCACTCCAACTGGGGCAGGGACCTCACTGCCTGGCACTCCAGTCACCACAGAACTGGAAAACAGAGACAAAGTCCTGTCCATGGCTCAGAGCCTGCCAGATGGACAGACGGACGAGTAGGTGGCCACTTCTCCAGCCCAGCTACAGGCCTGGGAGCCAGGATCTGCCTGGGTGCCCCCTTGGCTGTCTGGACCATGCGCTGACTTCAGAGCATCCGGGGCTTGCTGGGGCCTGGTGCTCGTGGGGCCCGACCGCTCTGTGCCAGCGGGTTGCGACTGATGACCAGCTCCAGGACGTCGCCCGCCTCAGCCAGGAGCGGCACCGCCAGGCAGCAGTCAAAGTCCCGCGTGCGAACGTGGTTGACCTGCGTGGTGCACAGCCAAGGGGACAGCTTGGCATCAGCTCAGCCTGGGCTGGAGGGGTGGGAATGGTGGGGTTTCCTAAATGTGGGCGCTGCCCCAGCCCAGACTCAGGGTAAATCTACAATACTTGCCCAGAGGAGGAAGTCATTCTTCATCTCTTTCAATTCTTCTGGTTGGGTTAATCAAAGAGAAGGTCCTAAGGAGGTGCCAGTACATCCTTTGCACCCCTCTAACACCTGCTTCTCTCCATTTTTAAGACAAGAGAGCAGGCATACATTCAGCCTCCTGCCTCGTGACATTGCCTTGTTTCTATTTTATTTGTATTTTACATTGGCCTTCTATTTTCAAGCAAGGGGTACTGGGTTTTCATTCCTAATGGAGTAGAAAAGTTTCCTTTTAAGATAAATTTAAGTTGAAAAACTTGGTCAATTTAGAGAAAGTCTATATTCAGTAAATTTAGCACAAATATGGCAGAAATCACACCAAGGAAACAAGAGTAGCTGGGGCATGGGAAAAGTGGCTCAGGGTGGCTGGGCCAGTGTGCCCATCGCTTTTCATCTTCCCACCCCCATATCCCAGCCTCCCTTGCAGCTGAGGAGGTCACATGACTAGTTCTGGCCAATAGGCCATGAAGGGGAGTGACAGGTGAAGGCAGAGAAAAACCCATGTGTGATTTTCCAGTCTGGTTTTCTCTGTCATGGAATCTGAGGTAATGACAAGAGGGTGGAGCCTCTGTCAGCACAGGAGGAGTAAGGTTCCTAAGTGTTAAGCCACTGAGATTCAGGAGTTGTTCGTTACTACAACATAACTGAGCCAAACCTGACTAACACAACTAGTGTTATTTATTCCCTTTTCACAGGAGTAGAAGCTGGGGCTCTGAGAGGGAAGGTGACCTGCCCAAGGCCACTCAGCCAGGGTAGAAGTGGAGGCTCTTTCCCTACCCTAGGGCTAGGAAAGGCCATTCCATCTGTGCCCCTGCTGCAGCATTACCTGGAGGACCCTGTCAAAGGGCTGGAGGCCCCCCCGTTGGGCTGGCCCATCAGGACGCACAGTGTGGACATAGACACCCTTCTCCAGGAGGCCGTCTGAGACACTGAAGCCAAAGTCATTCCTCATGAGGTCCTTGTGGAGGGTCACCTGAGAGCAGAAGGAGGAGGAGGTGCCTGGAGTGCTGAGCTGTGTCCCAGCCTCCCACAGCAGCCGGAATCCCTTGGCCTGGCGTTCAATGCCTCCAGGACCCAGCCCTAGGCCCCTTGCCCAGTGGCACTCCCCCACGCTTTATTGCCTGCGCCCATGTAGCACCTTCTGCTGCTCAGCAGATCCCCCAGGTCACAGCACTCAATCACAATGGAGGCCCTTGGGAAGGGAGTTCCTTTTCAGTTCTTTTCAATCCTCTTGCCTCTATCCAGGAGAAGGTCTCGGTGAGGCACCCATGTTAGGGGCACCCCTAACACTTGCTCATCTCGCAATTTAGCAAAGAGCTGGCTGCAGGCTCAGAGATCTCTGAGGGCTATTGGGTGAGAGGCTTCTTTCTATATAGATGGCAAAAAAGCTGGCTTCTTATTGAAGGTAGTGATATATATACACACATACATATAGTCATATATACACATAGAACACATAGAAGCCTTTATATTTTATATATACACACACAATAACTTAAGTGGGGAGAAAAGTAAGTCTACTTAAATAAAAATAGCTCAGTGTGCATCACAGGGTGTGTGTGTGTGTGTGTGTGTGTGTGTGTGTGTGTGTGTGTGTGTGTGTGAGACAGGAGTTCTGGGAAACCAGTGCAAAATCCCCATTTCATGGTGGGGAATGAAACCCAGTGAGGGGCAAGCCCATCTGGAGCCCACGGCGAGTCCGAATGGCACCAGGACACACGTCCGGGCCTCCTGCACCCACCCTCAGCACCCACCTTGTGCATCTCCAAGGGTGTCGGCAACAGCAGCTCCTGCATCTCTTCAGGGGAAGCGTGTACCTCCCGGTCCCTCCGCCAGGGCCGGTGGCCGGGCCGGCCCTCAAGGGCCACGCTCTGCACAGTGCCCGTCATGATGGATGCCTGCAGGGACACAGCTCTTCACTTAGGTGTTCGCTGTGTTCACAGTCAGCATCTTTGGACACCTACTATATGCCAGCCTTCAAGGTCACAACGGTGAACAGAGTAGATATGGTGCTGCCTTCCTGGGGCTCTCAGGATCGATCAGTCACACTAGCGATCCGAATAATCATCGTTGGCACTGAATTAGCACCTACGCTGTGCTGGGCTCAGTTCTAAGCCCTTCATACATAGAACTCATTTTTATTCTCTACAATATTATGAGACAGGCAAATACCATCATTCCCCCCCCCCCATTTTACAGATGAGGAAACTGAGGCTTAGAGAGAATACAATTTGAACTCAGAGTCTGGCTCCAAAGTTGAAGGTCTTAACCACTCTGCTACCTTGTGAATCGCAAAAATAAACAAGATAAAATTATACACGGCAGTAACTATCACAGAGGCCAGGTTCATGGAAGACAAGGGCCAAGGACAGAGGATCTGGTCCGGTATGAGAGGCCAGGGAAGGCTCCTGAGCTGGGATCTGAAAGACATGCAAGCAGAGGAGAGGGAGGAAGAGAGTCCCCGGCAGGCAGAGTACAAGGCCCCCACGACAGGGAATCGGGAAGAAGGTTGGAGGGGGTGCGTGGAACGAGGTTGGGATGTGAGGGCTCAATCCTGCACGCCCCGTGGACCACAGTGAGAAACATCCCAAGAGCAACGGGAACAGAATTTATGGGGGG